TACTAACTCTCTTCTTATTTTCCAAATCTATGAATTCGTCGATCTCTTTTTCTTCTAATGATTTTAGTTTGACTGAGCCAGGAATCTGAGATTCTGAGCTTTGCTTAATTTCTCTGAGGTTAGATGTAACAGAAGTTGTATTTATTACCTGTTTAGAGGTATTGTCGAGATCTGATTCGGAGGAAATAGCGCTTTGTACCTGTTTTAGATCTATAGAGCTTGTGCTGTTTTTTTCATCGGGGTGGGTTTCAATAGTTGAAGCGGGTGATTGAGAAATGTTAGTATTCTTTTGTGAAGTGATATCTGAATTATGGTTTTCGATTTGAAAGGTAGATTCGCATTCTTCCATCAAGAATTGTAAATCCCGCTTCTTGAATTCCTGTTCTAAATTTGCAACTCTGCCCTTAAGCTCAGCATTTTCTGTCTGGCTTTGTCTCGCACTCTCAGCATGTTCCTTTGCAGATCGTTCTAATTCCGCAATTCTAGTATTAAGCTCTGCATCTCTTAATTTCGCATGCGAATCTTTTTCCTCTATAATTTGTCTCAGTTGAGCATTCTCGGCTAAGAGTTTTGCATTTTCCTGTCTTAATAAATCTAGTTCGGATTGCATGGTTCGATAATAATTTTTATATAAGACGCGATTTATTTAAATTATTGAGTTAAAAAAAAACATGACAAAACCGTGAACAATGAAATTCCACGCATACTGTTATATATAGTATATATAGAGTTCATATAAAAAATCCGTGAACAATGTTCACGATCAGAGTTACATAAAAAATCCGATCATATACATCGATAACAATACAATAAAATAAATTCACGAAATACACATGCAAAAGTAAACGCGATTATGTATGCAAATCGGCCACCAGGGCCAGCTTTATTACTGCTTTATAATTACAAATGCGTACTACATTGCTTTACATTTATTTGGCTTTACTATATAACTTAGAGGTGAAAACAAATACAACTAAGATATTCTCATTCTAATACTAATTTATATATTCTAACTATTGCAAAACCTGAAATTTGAGTAAAGGTAGTTAGAAACAAGAAATGTAAAGCAATCAAAGAAACATTTATAATGGAACGCACCACAAATTCAAAATGCAATATATACCTTCCTCTTTCCAATAGATGCTTGCATAGCTTTCAAAAAAATTATCCGGTTCTAGTTGGCACTGTTCATGGTATATCACTAATGCGGGAGAGACAAAAATCTATACTATTCGACGAGCTGTTAAGGTAGTAATAACTGTAGCGCCAGATTTTTTTGTACTCCATTATTCTGTAAAAATAAAGTTTTCGGGAGACATATTTTTTTCTTGGATAATGCAGATAAAATTAAACCAATGGCAAAACTTATCTTATTTTACGTCAAATATCCTCAGTCCAGGAATCCAATTCAGAATTTTTGTGATGACCAGTGTAATTGCAGAGACAGTTATAAAAGTTCACCTAATTGATTGCTTGTTATGATTTGCATCTTCGATTTGTAATTAAAAAGCGCAATAGAAATTAATAAAGCACCTATGGTCTATAAAGTAGGCTCCAATCACCTAACTATAAATTTTCACACATACTGACCCTTACAGACGAAGAGTAAATATACAAACTTTGCCTACAACAATGATCAAAAAAGAGTTCGTTTGATAATCAAGTCCCCGTAGCCATACACCTACAAAACATACTTCTTAGGCATCGTCAACCTATGAAATATATCTTTTCGGATTCTCACCACCTACGAAACATGCATTGCACATGTTTTTTCGGCTTCTTGGCACCGGTCCCGTGCACCAACCGAAATATAAATGTTTCTTGGATTCTCACCACCTACCAAAACACAATAAGTGTTTCTTGGTTTCTCAGGTTCCACCTACCGAAACACAAGCATTTCTCGGCTTCTCGGCAGATCTAGATCTACAGAAATACTAAAAGCATTTCCTTCGACTTCGATCAGGGAAAACTTGTATTATTATCAAAGTACTATCTGTCAGAAAAACAATCGCGAGTCTGGCCAATAAAAATACCTACGGCAAACAGCAAAAATTTCCGGGTCCCTGCCCGTGAGTAATGCTGATTGGCTAGATCAGCAATTGTTACACAAGATTTTATAAAACCATAATAAATCTAAATAAAAAATCCTACATAGCAAAGACCCCAAAGTAATATTTTTTAATTTTACCCATTCGCTAGTTCATAATAGCTCAAGAAAAACCTCAAAGGCAACATTAAATACACCTTAAAAGCAACAATCGAAAGTTTACTTCAGTTGGACCCTCCTATAAATAGAAAGTCTGCCATAAGTAAGCAAGAAGAGGCGTTGCGATTATCGATGCAAGCTCTATTGAAAAATGACGAAAAGTTACGAGAAGAATGCACACAGTTAAACATATGGCTTAATATCTTCGAGAAAGAGAAGGAAAACAAAAGAATGTTAAAGGTCATTGACGAAAATGACCGTGCTGTTTTTAAAAAAGCGAGATTTTTCTTAAGTGTTGTCAATATCTCTTACGGTATGGGCTCCACCTCTGTAAATGTTCGGAAAGGAAATGCATCAATTGATAGTTTAAAGGAATGCGAATTTGGAAAAGAGTTACAAGAAAAAGTTACAAACGAACAAGAAATAGAAAAGGTACAAGAGATGAAAAGCCAAGTTCACCGATCATCATCTCCGCCAATCCCACAAAGATTCTCATTCTCAGCATCGGAGCAAGGTTCATACGTTGAACCAATACTTCAACATGTTGAAAGAGCTCTTTTTAATTTTATTACAAGATATGAAAAATACATCCCTTCCAAAACCGTAAAAGACTTTGTTATGAAATGTAATCCTCCGCGACAGATCGATTTTTCCAATGCTGATTTATTATGTCTTTTAAATTTCATATTACAAACCATTTCCTTGTTCACAACTCGCCAATCTGATCAAACACTATTTTGTGGTCAATATAAATTAAATCCGTCTGATTTATTAATGTCCTTTAAAGTTGAAGCGAGGAATTACAATGCACATGCAATTACCCAATCAAGCGGAAGATGGAACGATGAAAAGCTACAGAGGTTATCAACACTAGCATTGGAAGTGGTTATATGTCTGGGTGAGTTTTGAAAGAATATTGATGTCTGTTTTTACAATTATAATTAAAAATGGTTTAATTTTTCTTTGTGTTATTAATAGGAGGTCAAGATGAATATGAACAATTGGTAGAAATAAAACGAAAATTGGATTTTGAAATTATGGAGAGATTGATCTCAACAGCAAATGGGACACATGAGGATAATGAAGCTGATTATCAGATTAAAAAAAGAAAGTTAAGAGATTTGGAACTTGAAGAAGATAAACGTCAGCTTGAAGAATTGACGGATTTTGCCTTGGATATAATTGGTAAATTGGAATCTTCAGACAAAGAGCAATTAAACCGCATTGTACAAATGACAATCTCCAAGAATGAATTGTTATTAAATATATGGAAAAGTATAGATGTAAAAAAAGATGAGGATACTAAAATAGAA